CCACCCCCCCTTCCCTGGGCTAGACACTTTAAATATGTTGTCTTTATTTTTGGGGCCACACCTGGAGGTGCTCAGGGTTTACTCCTGGCTATGTGCTCAGGGGACCAAATGCAATGTTGGGGATTTAACTAGGGACCTAACCAGGGTTGGGTGAATGCAGGGCAAGCATGTTACCTGCTGTACTTTCTCCCCAGTCCCAAAATATGTTGTCTTTAATCATTGGGGCAGGCGTGGGTGGTGGTTGGGCAAATTCAAAATAATGGTGGTGGGAAGGTGTAATGGTGGTGGGATTGGTGTTGGAATATTGAATGTAATAAATTATTGTGAACAACTTTATAAAAATAAAATTAAATTAAAAAGAAAAAAGAAACAGCTCCCTCCGGGGAGGGAGAGTTAGGGGTTTAGTAACTTGCCTTGCACATAGCCAATCCTAGTTAGATCCTTGGCATTGCATATGGTAATCTAAAAACAAAGCCAAGAGTGATCCCTGAACAATGAGGGGTGTGGCCCACAAACAAACAAACAACCCCTCCAACTCTGAGATAGAGTGATCATCTGTAATGATCGATCATATAATAGACAGAGCTTTCAGAAGTTAAGGGACAGGAATTTAAAGAATTAGTTTACAGTTATAAAGCAAAACTACAGTTAATTTTATGACGCATTAGGTAGACAATTTACAAAACATTATCAGGATTTTCCCTTCAAGCCATAACATTTCATAGAGGACTGAAATTCATTCATGAAGTAAAAGTAGCTGTCCAAGGTCACAAAGCAGGTAATAATTAGCAGAGCCTATATTTTGAAAGAAATGAAAGAACCAGTAAAAGCTTATTCCATTTATTCTGGAACTGGAGAAATAGTACAGTGGATAGGGCGCTTGCCTTGCATACAGCCAACCTGGGTTCAATCCCCAGCATCCCATATGGTCCCCTGAGAACCACCAGGAATAATTCCTGAGCATTGCTGGGTGTGGCCCCCAAACCTAAACCAAAACAACAGAAAAAAATTTATTCTATCCACAGGGCACCCTAAGACACTTCCCCAATACTAATACTAATCTCATGATACTTTGTGTCCAGTTCTGTGCTATTTTGTGTTATATGCACTAATGCCAATAGTCTTCCAAACTACCAATTGTAGCAAATACTGTTATCTTTTCCATTACAGATGGAGAGATTGGACTCAGAGGTAACTTCCCAAAGTTACACAGCAATTGAAAATGAAAAAGGTGTCAGATGAATATCTAAGACCTGAAAGGCATCTAAGGCCTGACACACCTGGTTGTGTCCCCATCTCTCTCTAAAATCACTTTTTTGAGGCCTTCAGTCTCTTTGTCACATTGGCGTTACTTCTCTTTCTCTGTCTCTGTGTCTGTGTCTGTGTCTCTCTGTCTCTGTCTCTCTCTCTCTCTCTCTCTCTCTCTCTCTCGGCTTTTTGGGTCACACCCGGCAATGCATAGGGGTTACTCCTGACTCTGCACTCAGGAATTACTCCTGGCAGTTCTTGGGGGACCATCTGGGATGTTGGGGATCGAACCCAGGTCAGCTGAGTGCAAGGCAAATGCACCTGTTGTACTATTGTTCCAGTCCCTACTTCTTCCTCTAACCTCTGTGTGTGGCAAGTCCACACACCACCTGTTCTCATGGAGCCTAGTGTCTTATAAAAATTCATCAAGAATACCACCAGCGGGCCTAACAGGGGTGCTGGGAGGATTAGTAAATTCGACTGCTCTTGGACTGTTTTAGTAAAGGTTGGATACTCAGAGAGCTCAATGTGTGTGAAACTTACTGCCAATGGGGGCTCATGCTGTAATAAGGTGTCTGAAGTCCATTTGAGCTGCTTGAGATGTTTAGCTTTCTGAAGTCATTCTGGTCAGGGGTTGGATTATTTCCTGCTGTCCCAGTGGCTGTGGGAAATTCGTGGTAGTGGTCAGAGGCAAACTTTTGCTCTCAGTGAAGGTGATTCCAACAGCTCAGAAAGATTTTCTGCTTACTCTAAGGAACACCAGTTATTGACAGGGGTCAAACTCTAACATCATTGTGCTTCAGAGGCAGATTCTGGAATAAATCTTTTGTCACTTCATCTGATTCTCAGACTATTATTATTATTATTATTATTATTATTATTATTATTATGGTTTTTGGGTAACACTAACGGTGATCAGGACTTACTCCTGGCTCTGTGCCCAGGGATCACTTTTGGTGGGACAGGGGACCATATGGGGTGCCAGAGATTGAACCTAGGTTGGCTGTGAACAAAGCAATGCCCTACCTGCTGTACTAAGCACTTCAGATCTTTTAATTTTTTATTTAAAATTTTTGGTTTAGGGCCACACCTGGTGGTACTCAGGGCTTACTCCTGCATTTGCACTCAGAGATCACTCCTGGTGGGTGTGGGGGACCACATGGGGTGCCAGGGATCAAACCCAGGTTGGGCACATGCCAGGCAAGCATCTTACCTGCTGTACTATCACTCCAGTTCCAAACTTGATATATATGTATACACACACAATTTTATTTTGTTTTTGGACCACACCTGGCAATGCTCAGGACTTAACTCCTGGCTCTGCTCTCATGAATTATTACTGGCAGTGCATGGGGGACCAGATAGGATGCCAGGGATCAAACCTTGGGCAGCTGCATGCAAGGAAGCACCCTAATGCTGTATTATCTCTCCAGCTTCCCAAAATTGATAATATATTTTATTATTATTATTTTTTGTCTTTTTGGGTCAGGGGTGATGCTCAGGGGTTACTCCTGGCTTTGCACTCAGGAATTACTCCTGCAAGTGCTTAGGAGACCATATGGGATGTTGGGGATTGAACTCTGGTTGGTGTGCAAGGCAAATGCCTGCTGTACTATCACGCTGTCCTCAGACAATATATTTAAAAATGCAGTGCCTGACTAGATGTTTAATAAAAAGTAGCCATTATTGTTATCATTATATTGTTGTTATAGTTTTTACTTACATTTTAGGGTTAGCTGAATGGAAGAAGAGTCATTCACTTATTCAACAAGCTACAAGTGAAGAAATTGTCCCAATGAAGTTATTCCAGGAAGGGAAAAATCATGACAAAAGGCATTTGGCAGATATGTGTGTGATGAATGCTATAAGAGGGCACTGTATGGAATGTTCTGGGACTTTGGTGGAAGAATCAATAAGCAGGAGACTCAGCAAGCTTTGCAGAGGAGGTTTTAAGTTTTAAGTTTGTGCTATGAGAAGTGGGAAGTGCTACAACTGCAGCTGTGCTTCTGGGCCTTGATTCTGACCTGCAGCCCCTCTGGATTCAAGGCCTCTTGACTCCCACGTAGCTCTGACAACCAGCCTGACCCTGGAAGACTCACTCCTGAGCCACCTCTTTAATAGCCTGAGTTCTGAGTTGTGGCTCCATGCGGCTGAGTCATAAGACCTTCCTTTTTACTGCTAAGCTCTAATGGGAACCTTCTGGTCAGAGCAGTGCCCCAGGTTTACCTTGTGGGGAACACCTAGAGAGGATGATTGACCGTTGCAATCAGTACTGCATAAGTGTGATGAATACATGTGGTGGTGGTGGTGGTGGTGGTGGTGGGAGTTATGGGCTGGTGAGATCTAGGGTGGACAGAGATGACATACCTTCCCCACCCCCAACTCCCATGGGGAAGAGTTCTCTTTTCCTTCCCACCAGCTTGCTGTGCCTTTTTCTGACTGCCATCTGGCAGCACACCAGTCCATTCAGTCTCTCAGCAGATCAGTGACATTTTCCAATCCTAAATACATGGGCTAACAAAGAAAGAATATCTGCCCGCTTTCCAAAGGCAAGGGAAAATACTGCAGTTTCAAGGATCATCCCTGTCGTCACAGGGGAGACAGTAAGTTGGATATCTTGAATTTCAGGGTTTCCCCTTTATCAGGAATTCCTCTTACATTATATCATTGATATGTGAAAAGAGCCCCCCCAGGAAGCTGATAACAATTTCCCTTTAATAGTTGAGAATACTCAGAAAGAGGAAATAACTTGCTCAAGATGCTTTGAGCCGGAAGTTTGAGAGTATATGTGTAAGTGTGTGTGTGTGTGTGTGTGTGTGTGTGTGTTATGTGTGTGTATCTGAGAGAGAGAGCCGGAAGTTTGAGAGAGTGTGTTCGCGAGCCTGCACCCTTGTGCTTTTCGGGTGTGTGTGTGTGTGTGCGTGTGTGTGTGTGTGTTTATGTCTGAGGGCGTGGGGGGAGTGCTGGAGCGGAAAAATCCTTCGCATGGACATGCACGCCATCATTTACTTGGGGGCCAAGAAGCAGGGTGGCCAAGAACTGAATTGCCCTGTTCCCGCGTCCGAGTTGGAACCCGGAGCAAAGGCCTCTCTCGGTGGCCGCCCTGTCCGGACCATCAGGAGCTGGCTCCAGGCTCCCGGGATGCAGGAAAGAGCCCTGAGACCCGGCGGGTCACCCAGCGGCCGCTGGCCTCGCCCCAGCCCAGGTGCAGCCCGGGCTGGCCCCGGCGTGGGCGACCGACACCCACCCCGACCGCATTCACGCCCCCCCTCCCGGTCACATGGTCGCGCCTTCCGCAGTTTGGGCGTGCGGAGCGGAGCGAACCACGAGGAGCGGCGGGGGAGGCGCCGAGGGCAGTGGGTCAGCGCCCCACGGGGCAGGTGGGCGGGCCCAGGCGCCCGCGGGCGGGCCGGCCAGCCAGTGAGCGGGCGCGGGGGGCGGGCCGGCGGGCGCGCGCGCCGCGCCCCGCAGCGCCCCCTGAGGGGCGGCGGCGGGAGCTGGTTCCGGCTGCGCGCGCAGCGGTGGTGGCGGCGGCGCGATCGGCCGGGCAGTAACCGTCGTGCGTCCGGTAGCGGCTGGAGCGGCAGCGGCGGCCGGGCACGGCGCGAGGCGACGCCACAGGGCAGCGGCGGCAGCGGGGGCCAAGGCGGCAGCAGGAGACGCAGCGGCGGCCGCAGCAGCAGCAGCAAGACGGACTCGTGGACACGCGCCGCCGCCGCCGCCGCCGCCGGGCCGGGCCGGGTGTCGCGCGCCGAGGCTGGGGGGGAGTCGTCGCCGCCGCCGCCGCCGCCACCGCTGCCGCCGCCGCCGCCGCCGAGGTGACTGAGGAGAGAGGCGCCTCCGCGCTCCCGCCGCCGCCGGACTTCAATGCCCAGTCCCCAGCTCGCCAGCGTGAGTGCGCCGCTCCCGGGGGGCTGCGGGGCCGGGGAGGCGGGCGGCGCCGCAGCCATTAGTGCAGGCCCGAGACACGTCCCCGGAAGGAGCCGAGGGCCGGGCCGGGCCGGGCCGGGCCGGCCGCCGTGGGTGCGGGCGGCGGGGCCCGCGCGCCGGCCGCGGGACCGGGAAGGGGCGTGCGTGCGGGAGGCGGGGAGCGCCGCTGGGAGGGGAGTGCGGGGACCGGGTGCCGGGGAGGGGCGGGCGGGGACGGGAGCCCGGGGAGCTCGGAGGCTCCCCCCGCCGTGGGGGGCGCCGCGCCCCCGAGTCCTTCCAGGAGCGGGACCCTGGGCTTTGCTCAAAGCCCAGGAACAGGAGCAGGAGCCCGTTCCGGCGGCACTTCTCGGGGTTTGGTGGCCCTCCCCCACCGCCCTGCAGTGTGTGGGTTTTTTTCTTCTTTTTCCTCCTTTTCCCCCCTTCTCTGAATCTCCTAGATCACTCCTCAACCCCGGGGTGACATGGGCTTAAATTACTTCCCGGTTTGTCAGTTGCCCATCTGTCCCCACCCTAGTCTGGGGCTCCGAGCTAAGTAAAACCAGCGTGTCTATCAAGGATCCCAAGTTCTTGCCTTTGTGATTTCGAAGTATAAGTCTTTTAAAGTACTGCCATGTAGGTGAAAGACATTTAGTCTTTAAAGTTAAAGTAATACATGAAGTTGTATGAATGTAAACTCTGTATTATAAAGTTCGAGGTTTTTTAATATATATTTAGGTTGCAACTTTCTTTTTTTGGTGGGGGGTGCAGACCCAGCGGTGCTCAGGGGTTCCTTCAGGCTCTGCGCTCAGGAATTACTCGTGACGGGGCTCAGGGGACCATATGGGATGCCGAGGATCAAGCGCCCTACCCGCTGTGCTCTCTCTTCAGCCTTAGCCCTGGTTGCGACTCTACCATCTGGAGAAATTCATTTATTTTTTTTGGTGGGGGGGGGCACACCTGACCGTGCTCTGGGTTTACTCTCAGCTCTGTATTCAGGGATCATTCCTGGCGGGGCTCGGGACGATATGGGGTGCTGAGGATGGAACCTGGGTCTGAATGCGTGCAGACATCAGTCCCTGGAGAATAACTTTTTAGAGAATAATAGCGTAACTGTGGTGAAGGAGAACCAGAGGCCGTTTTATTGTTTCCTATGATCTGTCAAGAAACAGAAAATGTACAGCAGTTCTAGCGTCGCGATAAGGATGCCACAAGTGCTTCTGTGTTTGGAGTCGCCAGACAGCAACTGCTACTGGATTAGATTATGGTAGTTTTTTGTCGATGCGCTCTGTGTTAGAGTAGTTTCAGACAGGAAATGAATGAAGTTAATGCCTCCTTCAGTGTGTGCAAAGAAACTAGGCAAGAACCACCATTAATAGTTTTGAAGCACTAGCATACCACTATTCTGTTGGTGAGGATGATGAGAAACTGCCAGTATTCTGATTCTGATACTTGAAAGTGGTGTGTACTAGTGAATGTGCTAATTATTTCCATGGATTTCCCCCAGTTTGTTGAGTGTCAAAATAGGCAATCTTGATAAAAGTACTTTGGTAATGATTTTACACGGTAGTGATGGGAAGCCTTTTAGAAGTTGGGAATCCTTAAATATAATAAATAAAGACTAGAATGAGTCATTTGATAGTAGATTCACAAGCAAAAGCACTGATAGGTGATTAAAAATGAGAACTTTTTTTTAGGACATAATTTTCTTAGAGTGTACTTTTTCTGAATCACTCATGCTCTCTGCTTTCAGAAATAGTAAATGACATTGTTTCTGTTCAGTGGGGAACAGGATTAATCAGTATTAAGTGTCTGCTGCTCACCAGGTGCTTTTTATACTGTCATTTAATTCTCACAGCTTCCATAAAGGGGGTAGGAATCCTTGTTTGCATCAGAGAGTTTAAGCAACTTGTCCCAGGCCACAGGATAATAAGAATTGGTGCTAGATTAAAAACCCTCTGTCTACTCCAAGGTCCTTGATTTTTCCATTACACTGTTACTACGCCTGAAATAAGTTGTCTCATTTTGAGGTTTCAGTATAGTGATCTGGCAGCTTTTGCAGGTGAGAACTATTGAAGTCAGTGGGAGAGAGTGAAGGGCTGGAGGCTGGGGATCACAGGAGATGCTGACTTGAGGCTCTGGGGCCTAAGCTAGGCATTTATGTGGGTGGAGATTCTGCCTTGAAACACTCTTGGGGCCCCAGGGTGTGTGCTTTGAGACAGTTTTTATGAGACACCTGGGATCAGTCTTGGAGAGGAAAGCCTGATTAAAGAAACCGAACTGCCTTTATGTTTTTTATTTTTGGGGAAAGAGGAAGAGTATGTTTATTGGGGCCAAGAGTTAATCAGTTGTCTCCGGTAGTTTTTGTGTTTAACTGTGTGGGATATTTACCTCAAGAGATTGTTGAAGATTCAGTGAGAATATATATCAGAACACCTTTACTTTTTTTTTTTTTAATAATTAGTTGTACTGTATGTGTGATTGAAGAGTTAGTACATCTGAGAGAGTGCTTGATTTGCATGTAGCCTACCTGGGCTCAATATCCAGCACCACATAATGGTCCCTGACCTCACCTGGAATGATCCTTGAGGTGCAGAGTTAAGAGTACTGGTGTGTAAAGAACAGCTGTGATAAATACCAGGTTGTTCACTCCATGGCTTAGAGGCCAGCCGCATACTCTAGGGGCAAAGGCAGCTCAGATAGAGAAGGGAGCACCAAATAAAGGGTGCTGGGAAATCCGCCCAGGATGGGAGATGCATGCTGAAAGTAGTCTGTAGACAGAACATGATTGCCACCCAACGTCTCTTCTGCAGACCACAGCACCCAAAAGGAGAGATAGAACAAAAGGGAGTGCCCTGCCACAGAGGCAGGGTGGAATGGGGGATGGGGGGGGTGGGAGGGATACTGGGACTGGTGGGGGTGGAGAATGGGCACTGGTGGTGGGATGGGTACTCGATCATTGAAACCCAAGCACAACTTGTAAGTCTACAACTGTACCTCATGGTGTTTCACTAATAAAAAAAAAAAGAGTACTGGTGTGGGTCCAAAACCAAAAAAACAACAAGTTGAGCTATAGACTCAAAAGTTATTAATACTAAGACTTTTACTAAGGCAGTAGTATAATTGTTATAGTTAGAAGCTGGAAGAGTCTAGTATGTCAGAACACCTTCACAAATAAAATTGTTTAGAACTACTGAACTAGATATATTCTGACTCAGAATAGCAAAAATGCAAGCACTCCCTTCATGAATCAGTCAAGTAATACTTAATTTGAACCAACCAACTCCACAGGCAGAAACTATTTACAGCACCATTGAATTTTTTGTGGCACTAGGGAAGAGTGAACATTTGAGCCCTTTGCACAGAATATAAAAACTCTAGAAGTTCCATATCGATATTTAACTTGAACAGACCTTTGTGTGAACAAGATGAATTACGTTTGGAGATGGGTTGGGCCACACCTGGTGATAATCTCTGCTCAGTGATCACTCCTGGGGGACCAAATGGGCTAGGGATTGAATCCTGGTCAGCCACATGGCAAGAAAAGCATCTTAAGCCCCATATTCTCTGACCCAGAATTAGATTTATTTTAGAATTTTTACTTATTTTTGTCTTTAAAAGGTAGTATTTATGTATGAGTAGTTACAAAATATGGTTTTAAGACACAAAGTTAAATTTAGTAGAGATTTGCTTTATAGGAAATACTTCTACCTTTTTTATTGGAACCAGTGAAGCCTCTAGAAAAAGCAGTTTAAGTAAGACACAAGAGCAGCACATAAATTTTGAGCTGTTGCTCTTGGAAGAGGGAAACTCCAGTTAGAGTGAAGCCACTGTTGAATTTTTCAGGTGATGTGCCATCACTTCTTGACGAGGTGGGAATCTTTGAATTTTTTTGAGCAGCAGGATTATCGGGATCCAGTTTTAACATGGCAGATTGAGTTTATTAAGTAATTTGTTGGGATACTCGTGAAATCCAACATTTATGCTTGATGTGTAAACAATTCCTTGAGAATCTTGATGTTAAATAACACTGAGTGAAACTCTCAATTTTGTAGATAAGGAAATTGATTTATAGTTTATTTTTTGATGTTCAAGTTTTGGAGACCAAGTTAGAGTATCAGTAACTAGATGACAGGGGATGATTCCCCTCTTCTCTCCTCTTCCAAGTTATTTTTTTTAGCTAAGTCTTTCCCTTCTCCTCCCACCCCACTTCACTCTATTTCACACAAACTGTAGAATGGAGGGTTTAGGTGGGAATCAAAGAGTTAGCTTTTGTTGCTTACATTTTGGGTTTTTGGAGCGGGAGAGGACATACCCTGCAGTGCACAGGCAATAATCCTCCTGGTTTTGCACTCCAGGAATCACTCCTGGTGGTTTTTAGGGGACCCATATGGGGTGTTGCGGTTCAAACCCGGGTTGACTGCATACAAGGCTAGCACCTTACCTGCTGTGCTGCCTTTCAGGGGTTTACTCCTGGCTCTGTACTCAGGAATTAACTCCTGGTAGTATTTAGGGGACCAAATAGAATGCTGGGGGTCAAACCTGGGTCAGCCATGTGCAAGGCAATTGCCCTACCCACTGCACTCTTGCTCTGGCCCCAGTTCTTATTTTTAAAAGATACTTAATGTTACATACTTTTATACTCCCCCCCCCCTTGGGAAGTATTACTTTTTTTTGGTTTGTTTTTACTTGTATAAAAGGATGAGGCCCTCCCGTTGATCGTCGATTTGCTCGAGCGGGCCCAGTAACGTCTCCATTGGAGACTTTGTTGTTACTGTGTCTGGCATATCGAATACTCTCGGTAGCTTGCCGGGCTCTCCGAGAGGGGCGGAGGAATCGAACTCGGGTCGGCCATGTTGGCCGCTTGTAAGGCGAACGCCCTACCCTATGTGCTGTATAAAAACTAATGATTATTTTTGTTTGTTCGTGTTTGTTGTTTTTGATCACTCCTGGCTCTGTGCTTAGGGATCACTCCTGACAGGGCT